TATTATCTTTCTTAAAATATCTTTGTTAATCAAGTACTCCTCCGATCTTAAATGTAAGACCCTTATACCAGTGTGGTATAAGGGTCTTAGGATCGGAGGAGAATATTGGTTAGAGTTACTATTGTTAAAAGAACTATCTTGAAGAAAAAAAAAAGTATAAATATGAGAGACAGTGAATTGGGGTTTTATATTTAGAATCAAAATAAAAGTTAAACAATGTCTTATATTAAGAATCGGAAGTGGTATTTTTTCACTAAGTAAGGTTGAGGGGGAAGAGATCTAATTTTCTACAAGAATGAGATGATGAAAATTATTCATGCTTTTTTTTTGTCAGGAAAATTATTCATGTTTAAAAGAGTTATTTTTCATCGAGTCTGATGATCTCTTTTTTATTTTATTCTAATTATAGAGATTTCAAGAAAAATTTAATGTTTCATTTTCATTCTTTTGATTATGAACGGTTGAGTAATTCAGTTTCATAGATTAAATGTTAGTTTGAAATGGTTTATAAATAACTTTTCAATCGTGATTAATAAAATACGAGGTAAATATGTTAGAAGGATTTTGTCTTAGGTTACGTGAAATGTGCTTATAAATAATTTTAATTGTGATCCCAAATAGAACTTAAGTTATTGCTGTTTAACATAAATACTCATTAACCTGTTCTACAAAAGCAACTAAAATTATTATTATTTTTTTAAATTCACAGTGCGTTGAATATATTTGAATTAAACACAGCTATAAGATAAGGTGGGGAAAGAAAGAAAAAAGCTTTGAATTCTCTTTTGCCCTCCTTGGTAGAACTACAAGACCAAAAATCTATGTTGCCTTCTTAGAATTATCAGTCTAGTTCTTAATATGAGTCACTTGTAATACATTTTTACATATAAAAAAATATACTAAATTGTCAAATTTTTTCAATTTTACTGAATAATTTTTTCCCCTCTGTATTTACAAATCATTTTCATATCTTTCCCTTCTTTCTATCATTCCAATAAAATTTAAATAAGAGTAAAATTGAAAAGATAAGCATTAAATATATTAAAAATGACTTATATTTATGATCAAAACTTCTCCCTTCAAATAACTTACATTTAGGACTAGAGTGATAACATTCTGCATCCCATCCTCAAAGCATTGCTTTAGCTATGTTTGAAAAACTTGCATAACTTTGACAATGTTGCCTCCTTCAAACAAGGAACTGAAAATAAGTGTGGACCCGCTACTCACTAATTGAATGGCATAATACTACTTTCGGTCCTTAATACAAGACCTTGTTTGACTTTTATCTTGGTCCTAAATATAAGATTCCAATCTACTTTATTTCTCATATTTATACTTTTTTTTAAAGTAGTCCTTCTAATAATAATAGTTTCAGCCAATATACTTGATTAGTAAGAATATTGTAGGAAAGATAGTACCTATTTATTACAAATAACTTTACTTATTTTCTTAATCTCATCAAATTAGTCAATTAACTCTTATAATTAGGACTGGAGGTGATAATGATAATCACAATAGAGCCAAATAGTGCACATTAGCTTCGTAAGCCTCTTCACCTAATGCTTCATTGAAGCGAATACGCTATAAATGAGGAAAATGACGACGACTGAATAGCTTAGGGTGCTGAAAAGGAAAGAATTACTAATAATTGAATATTGGCTAAGTATTACTCCCTCCGTTCCTTATTATAAAAGACATTTGATACTTATAGTATGTTCCTAAATATAAGAGACACTTAAAAGTTGTCTCTATTTTTTTGTGTTAATTTCCTATTTTACCCATATTTATTGTCTCCAACTAACACTCTCTCTCCTTTCCACTTCTCTTTCTTTTAAGAATTTACTATTGTTCTCTCTCATGCTCTCTCTCCTTATTAATGAGGGTATTTTTGGAAAAAAAATTATACTTTTTACATATTAATTGTTCTTAACTAATTTTAACTGTTTTTTTTATCAACGTAATTCGGTTAGTCGTCTCTTATAATAAGGAACGGAGGGAGTATTTTTTTAACTGTTTAATAGCCACCTTTCAGATATGTGCCCTCCAAGACAATTAGCTCAAACTAACCTTCTCATATGGCCCTAACTATTTGGTCACACCTAACCACTCACAACTGCTCTCTCCCTCTACATTAATCATTGCTTAAGATTTGGTTAATTATGCATTAATCACTTACCTAACTTCTTTGATTTTATTCATTTATTGATGCCACTGAATTTTGTTTCAACGTTCATTTCATACGAAATTTTTTATAGCAAAAATAAGGCAATTGTTGGAGTGTTATAATAATCCAAAATATAAATCACACTTTGGGAGGTTAAATAATAAATACTTTGCTTCTTGGAATGCCCCTCATTAATCACAATATGGAAGAGAAATTTGGAATTAATTAACAAGGACGAAGGTTAATTATTAACTAAGGATAAATTGAAAAGAAAATCACCATTTGCTACAAAATCGGTTGGTTTAACTAACTATAATCACTTTTATTGGTATGTGTAGAGGTCGGTATTGGTAACAATGAGATTACTAAGGGGAGGCTTTAACTGTTAATGGACTTGTGAACATATACTCATCTAGTCATATTTATAAGTCACTTGTAGCATATTTTACACATACCAAGAAAAATTTTAAACTTCATTAACTTTCATTTAAAATTCAATAACTTTTTAATTTTATTCCTATTTAATATATTTTATACCTTATGTAAACAAAGTCAATACAATAATAAATGAAGAGTGAAATTGTACATTCACACAAAAAATTTCTCTCAGTACCCTATAAATAGGACCAAAAAAATGTCTTTTCTCTCTGTTTATAAATAGAACCAAAGGAGTATTTGCTATTAATAATGGTGGTGTTAGTTAAAGAAGCTACTTTATAAAAAATTGAACTGGGGTCCGTTCTAAGAGTTTAAGGACTTTACTCTCAAATATCTTATCAAAAGGATAGGACACATGACCAAGTTAAAAGTGTTGTACAATAGTCTCAAACCTTATGCTTAAGGAACGTGCAACTGTTCACATGGGATTATTACTTTAAAATTTGTTTTAAGACATTAATGAGTAATTTACTAATTTATCTGGCGACTGATTGACTTTGGTAGTTAGAAATAAGATTGAAAGCTATTAGATAGACTAATATATCAGCTTTGGATTGAGATTTAGGTTAATTCAAAGCTAGCGGGTTAACTAGTTGGTAAGCTTGAGGAAAATTGTGGTAATTGAGTTTATTGTGGTGAGAAAATCTCTTGAACATTTTCAGAAAACTAGATGTAGATAATGAGAACCCAAATGACAATTATTAATCATTATGTAATTAGTATTGTTTAACGGTTATTGTTAAATTTCCCAATACCCCCCATAGTGGAAGAATTTGATTAAAAATGATATAATTCTGAATTAAGCACACAAAAAACGAAAATAGGCACACATTCTTTGCTTCTGTTGTCCTCTACCAGTGTAAAAAATATGACCATTTGAATAATTAATGATTAAAACAAAAATTAGCCAAGAGAATGACAACTGAGTATACTAGGGAAAAAGACAAAAAAATGACACTTGAATTTCATAATGCCTAAATAGTCTACTGAATTTAATAAAAAGACCAAATTGCCTTTAATTTTATTTATTATTTTTTAAAATACCAAAACTCCCATTAGTCGGCTGGTCGGTCGCCGGAGCTTGTTGAATTTTCTAAAAATCCTGTTGTTAACGGCTATACTGAAATTGTTAATAGCGTTACAAAAGTTGTTAACCGTTATACTGAAGTTGTAAAAATTTTCAAAAAAATTGTTTCCGGCCGCTAGAGCTTATTGAATTTCCCAGAAAACCTATTGCTAACTACTATACTGAAGTTGTTAATAGCGTTACAAAAGTTAACCGTTATACTGAAGTTATAAAAATTTTCAAAAAAAATTGTTTCTGGCCGCCGAAACTTGTTGAATTTCCTAGAAAACCTGTTGTTACCTGCTATATTGAAGTTAGAGTTACAAAAACTGTTAACCGTTATACTAAAGTTATAAAAATTTTTAAAAAAATTGTTTCCGACCGTCAGAGTTCCGGTGACCAATTGTCGGTCAGTCGCCAGAGCTCGGGTAACTACCGCCGCCAGAGCTCCGGCGACCGACCGGCTGACCAGTGGGGGCTTTGGTATTTTAAAAACAATAAATAAAAGGAAGAGATATTTGGTCTTTTCATTTGGTCTTTTCATTTAACATGATAATCCTAATTTCGTCTCTTGAGACGAAATTGGGATTTCTCAAATTCAGCAGACCATTTGGGCATTATGAAATTCAAGTGTCATTTTTCTGTCTTTTTTCCAATATACTAACCTATTAAGGCCCTGTTTGGATGTTCCTCCAAACCATGGTTTGGAGACCCAAACCATGGTTTGAGGAAGAAACCAGCCAAATAGGGGCAGAAAATGTGAAACCATGGTTTCGGCAGAAGTGGTTTGAAGTTGCTTCTGGCTCAAATTTTCTGGACATTGGTGTGGGCCCAACAGCATATGACAAAACAGCCCCCATAATTGATGCCTCACTCTTCATTCCACACTCAGTTCTTCACCATTTAATCTTATTATTTATAAATATATATACACATATTAATTATTTATTAGTTATATTATCTTATATATTATTAATTATGTTAGTAAAAAAAATTTTATTAACAATTTTATTTCTTCATATCAAAATATATTATAAAATCTATCCCTTATATAATTATAATATTAATTTATGCCCTTTTTAGTAATTTGTACATATAAAAAGTGTTTCTGGTAACAACTATCCAAACACTCTCACTTCTCAGAATCACTTTTTCATAAAATCTATTCTCTCCAGAATCTATTTTTTAGAAGCTATTCTCCAAACCATGGTTTAGTTTTATCCAAACACACCCTAAAAATGAATACAGAAAATAAGCCCACAAGATAATATGCACATCATTTTGAAGGGACTGCAATTCACACTGCAGCATGAGATATTTTGATTTTTATGATCTTACACAGAGTCATTCAAAATTTTCATTCCCAAAATTGATTTTTGTGCAAGAAGCTTCATTCTACTGATCTAAATGTCTCTAAACATTTCCAACCAACTGATCAATATTCTCATTTTCTGATCTCTTCACTCTTGCAACGGCTTTTTGGACCTACAAATTATGATCAAAGCAAACAAGTCAGTTCATCTGTTAAGAACTAGTCAGTTTATGGAGTGCTTTTAGAGGATTCAAATTTAGAATAGAAAGAAAAAGCTTTTTTTTTTGTTTTATAATGTTTATTACCTCTGCATCCCAGTTTGTTCTTGCTGTTATAATTATTAGAGTAATTGTCTGTATAACAACTCCAATGATCATCCCCCACCAGATTCCCTGGAAAAAGCCACAAACAGTCTCTTAACTAACAATCATGTTTATGCAAACTTAAGAACAAGATCTTTAAACATTTATAAATTCTGAATTGGAGCAGAAAGTGTTGAAACTCACAGCTACTCCTAAAGAGGTTTCAAAGCCAAGAACGCATCCAATGGTAAGTCCAATCGCATAGTATGAAGCCAAGTTCACATAAGCCACTACAGCTTGCCATCCACTTCCAATTGCCACACCTAAAAACAAGCATAACATATTCCAAAATTAGCAAAATTTATAGGAACTGTACTAATTAGAAGCACTGAACAGTGAGATTCATTCTTCATGTTCAGTGCAATGTATGGAAAATGTGTTTAGTTTGAATTTAAATCCCTCTAATATTAATGGAAAGTACAAAGAAGACCTGCATATTGTTTATGTATGTGTATATAAGATTTATATAGATATATATGTGTACGTACCCGAAAGTATAGGTTGAATGCCATTGAGGAAAACAGAGATAGCAAGCAATGAACACAAATTAGAGACTTCTTTAATCACTGCTTCATCAGAAGTGAAGAGCTTGCTCAAAGCGACCCGGAATATCAGGACAATTGAACTGAAAACTACACTGATAAGGATGCTTGTCCCAGTCACTACAGACACTGAAAATTTTGCTAATCTTGGATGATTTGCTCCTAGTTCATTGCTCACTCTTATACTGCGGCGGAAAAACCATCCTCCCCATCAACACGGTTGCACCAAAAATTCTTATGAATAGAGACATAAGAGAATGTGAACTAAAAAAAAAAAAGTTTTGTGTAACTAACCTGGCTGCTGCACTTAGACCCAACATGAACTGCATGTCCCAGTTCAGGTAATTCATACTGGAAGCAAAACAGAATGGAGATTGTGATTATTATGTAACATGGCTAATACTGAAAAGTGGACATTGGGAGGGTTGCTTATGATCATACCAAATGGAAATTGAGTCTAGTGATATTGTAGGGTTGGGAAGGAGTCCTGATATAAGCACAAGTCCTTGATTGTACCATATCTCCAAACTGTTGCAGGAGGATGCATTTTCAGTCCAAAAATTATTCAAATGAATGATATGAACCTGGGAGTTTTAAGAAACAAAGTATGTATAGTCTCACACTACTTTTACACACATCACTCACACAAGTTGAGACTATGTAACTAGATTTAGTGTCTCATTGACCATGCTGCAGAAGAGAATAAAATGTTTGGTACTTAAGTTCCTATCAGTTTTTTGTTTGGTTCTTATAGTTTAAAAATGTTGCATTTGTTCACTAAAAGAAATAGCTTTTACATGGAAGCATAATCTATTTTTATTCTGTTATATAACGCAGAATCAAAACCCAGAATTAATAAGTTCTAAACAGAAATATGGTTAAACCGGAAAGGGAAAAAATGCTGAGTGGGAGGAAAAGTAGGAAATGAACACATACCATAACATAATAGCAGAGGCAACAGTGAGCTTGAAATAAGGCCACATGCCTTTAAAAGCTTTGACAGAGAAGCCAGTCCAAGTTTCTTTACACCTGGGGCTAAAAATTATGTAAAGGCCATTTATAATGGTAAGGACCCACCAAGAGAAGCTAAGAGTAAGAGCAGCCCCAATAAGTCCATAGTCCAAGATATAGACAACCAGATAACTTAGGCCCACATGAAGAAGGAACACTCCCACAGACATAAAAGCCAGAGGGTTCACTATGTTCTGTGCTTGCAAGAACCTCTGCATAGGGCAGCTTATGGCAAATGCATAAAGCTGAGGGATGATTCCTCTTGCAAAAACTTGGCCTTGCTCTGCTATGCTTTCAGATTGCCCTATGGCTTTTAAGACTGACCCAGAATACCAGTACAAGAATGTCAAAAGTATTGCTGCTCCTATATGTAGAATGATTGCTCTCTGGCATATGATCCCCATTGCTGGCAATTTTCTGGCCCCATATGCTTGCCCACACACTGTTTGAACTGCACTGGCCATGCCCAACTGTTTCAACCACAATTTTGGAACTCATATCAGTGTTTGTGAACATATTCTCCATGAAACATTTGGGATACCTCAGACTAGTATAAAAAAAATCAGAGAAATGTTAGCTTTCAGTTGTCACAGAGAGAGAGAGAGAGAGAGAGAGAGAGAGAGAGCACCATGATTCCATAAGCAAGACCTTGAATTCCAACGCTGGCAATGGAAGCTCCAGCAAGTTCAAGTGTACCCAAATGGCCAACAAACATCAATGTCACAAAGCTCAACATGTAATTGAAAATGGACACAACAATAGAGGCGCCAGACAACAGCCATAGGATCCTTGACTCCCAAGCAACAAGCTTGGGCCACCACCGTGCCTGCACCGGGCGCTGCCCCAGAAACTCCTCGATGGCATCCGCCGACAGGTCCGGAATCCGAGCATGTGAGTCAAGCCCGAGTAATAATGGCTGGTACACGGAGCCCATAGTGGTTCCTTCTCCGGCCTCTCACTTACTACTACTAATACACACTTGGTTTCACTCAACAAAGTGTTATCTGCTCAGAGGGACAAGTAAAATGCTTTAAATGGAGTGGGTACTAATAGTGTCATGTGGAAGTATTAATCTTGTTAACTACCATTCAAATTCATCAATGGTGGCTACGGTTATGTCGTGTGCACCGAATGGCCCACCTACCGCATCCCAAAGGTGCTCGTTTTGCTCTGTTTTCCACACTCATCTTACTTTCAATTTTTTCTTTTTTTTTTAAATTTATTTTTTGCATTTTCATCTGAACATGGGGCATATAGTTAGCTATGGAAATAGGAAGCATTGACCTTGCATTTTCAGCCGTATCTCTTTTAATATTCATTCGGCTCGTTTGTTTTGTCTTAGACAGCACCAATGATGTTTTATGTTTAAAATATTTGAGGGAAGCTTCAAATTTTTAACTAACAATATTATAAATTATAGGCCTTTCATGCCTTTCTGCCTGAACATTTATATTTTTTTAAAATATTATAATGTGTGTTTTGAAATATTTTTTCAAGTGTAGCCTAGATTATATGTTGGTATATCAAATATCCTGAAATATTTTTTTAAGTATGTCTAATATTTTATTTTATTTTTATGAGAATGTTCTTTCAAAAGTGTTTTTTTACATTCATATAAATTGAAAACCGCATCTCGTATTCGTAACTAACACTTGTTATTAATATTTAATTGGTTTTAGTTGCCATCGTTGATGTCCCAATGGAATCGTCGGAGGAAAGCATCCGAAAACAGCCACGAAAGGAGGTACGAATGGTCAACCAAGTCACCTAACAATGTTGTTGAGATTTTGACTAATCTCTTCAGAGGGCCATTTCATTAAAAAAAAAAAAATATGTGCACGTAATCTAAAATATTACAAAATAAGTTTTAAATTTGAAAAGAATATCATTCACTTTATAAGTTTAATTTAAGGTTCTCTTAATATTTAATGTATTTTTTTTTCTAATCTTACCTTTAATAATTTATTTTCTCTCCTTTATCATACTCTCTCATCATATTTTTTCATTATTTTTCCTCATTTATTATAAGGGCATACTCCTCTGGCCCTATTTATAGGATAAAGAGAGAAGGAACTTCTCAATCTTATTTATAAGATAGAAAGATAATTTTTTATATGAATGTACCACTCTAGCTTTTATTATTTGTCACTCTTAGGGAGGAATTCTGGTCTTTTTTATTTGTCACTTATATCCTTTTTAATACTTCATTTTCAATTTTTCCCCCTATTAATTATAGTAAAAGTGAAGAAAGAGGGAATGAGTAAAAGAAAATACCAGTATTTAATACTCTTTTTAATAATAGTAAAAGTGAAAATTTTCATCTCCTCGATGCTCTTCTTGGTATGTGAGGATTTAGTAGTATGTTGACTTTGTTTTCATGTCATACAATACATGTTCCCTCCGGTCCTCCGGTCCTTATTATAAGTTTCAAATAACTAATTCACAGATAAAGAACAATTAGTTAAAATTAGTTAAAAGTAATAAATATGTTAAAAATATACTTTTGTCTTCAAATATGCCCTTATAAATGAGAAAAAAATTAAAGAGAATATATGAAAAAATGTGATTTAAGAAAATCTAGCAAATGAGAGAGAATAAACAATTATGGGTAGAATTGAAAAAATTGCATTCAATGTTAAGACAAATTTAAATTAAAAATTACATTAAATGTTAAAATAAATTCAAGTTGAAACTTAAAATGGACCACATCCTTCTCCAAAAATGAAGTTTGTAAATAGGATTGGAAGGGATATTAAATAAGAATAAAATTAAAAATTATTGAATTTTAATATAGAATTAAGAAAATTTAAAGTTTTTCTTAATTTGTATAAATTGTAAAACATGTTAAAAAATAACTTATAAATAGGATTAGAAAGGTATTTGAAAACAAAATGTGCTTCTAATTTGTTTATTACTTTTAACTAATTTTTTATTACATACAAATTAGTTATTTAAAGCTTATAATATAACAAAATGAATTATATATAATAATATTAAACTCATGAACATTAACTTATCAATAAATATCTTATTGATTTTTGCATAAGTGTTTAAATTCTAGTAAATAACTAAAATTTGAATAAAATCAATTTTCACAAATACTATTTTTTTAAAAAAAAAATTACATTCGTTGCTACTAGTATACTGTATTTCCATCAGTGAAATGACAATTTCATTCATGAAAGCATTGTTTATATAAATTTACAAGTGATAAAATGTTCATTATCATCAAGTCCATTTTTTATCATTTAATAATGGATTGTTCCATGAGTAGCAATCTGAAGTGAAAAACCATAATAATTTTTTGGTTTTTCCCTTCTTTTCTCTTTGGGTTCGGCCCTTAACAAACTTGAATTAATAAACTGACATGACCGACGACATGTCTTTAACAATCATCAGCCAAGTCCTTTAAGATCTCTTCATCAGCAGAATTCTTCAACAGAGCAGCAACTTTTTCAACCTACAAAACCAGAATCGAACCAGAGATGACAGTTAGTTCACAATGATCTCCTTTCCTTAGTTTAAATAATTTGCATCTAGAATGATGGAGTACAATTCAATTCTCTATGGTCATTCAATCCGAAAAAGAGAGGGAGTGACAGAAAATAATGTCTTTATCACATTCTTCAGTGCCGCCCGTCTGAATACATTATACACAGTCACGACTATGTATAAAGGATTGCAAGTTTTCCTATAAATAGAAGGCCGCTGGTTCAATCCTGCTTGTAACCTTAGACCATTAGTGTCTACCCCTCCAATTCCCAAAAAAAAAAAAAAGCATTGAGATTGAAATGGAGGTCTTGTAGGTGAGAAATTGAGTACCTCAGCATCCCAGTTGGTCTGGAATAAAATAGTACCGACTGTTGCTGTTTGAAGAACAAGGCCAATGATCAAACCCCAAAAAAGACCCTAAAACATAACAAGCCAAAAAAGCATGTTGTGTTATCATCATCAAGCAGGCAGCTTAAAAGCTAATCACAAGTATGAAATACTCTTAAGCGTTCAAACTTACTGCAACTCCTAAACTGGTTTTAAAGTTAAGAACATATGACAATGGGAGGCCAATAAGATAATAAGAAGCTACGTTCACCCAAGCCACTAGAGTTTGCCGTCCGCTTCCAATTGCCTGGCCTGGCATACTCAAGAAAACATTAGTTATAAGAAACTAAACTAAGAACCACACAAAATCTTTATGTGTTTGATTGTATGTATTACAAGAAAGGGCAATTGGGTTATGGTGGTTAATTACCAACGAGGACGAAGTGATAGCCAAGGATGACAAAATAGAGGGCAACAAGAGGAAACAAACTGGACGTGACTTCAGTAATGTCAGAATCAGTAGCATAAAGCTTGATTAGTCCAACCCGAAATATCAGAAATATTACAGAGATTGTGAAGGAGGTGAGAACGCTGATTCCATTACATACAGCCACTGAGAGTTTTGCTACCCTTGGATTACGTGCCCCAAGTTCATTGCCTACACGAACACTGCAAACACAAATCACATTTCAATTGTTTATTGTGAATCTACTAGCTCATCTTTTATGTTGAATTTTATAAAAATCAAATAACTATACATACGCAATCAAATAGTTAGAATTTTTCTATACTGAGCCTTAAGTTTTCAGTTATTATCAATTCCAAATTCCATGAAAGTGGTCTTAAATCATGTGAATTAGGTGAAATTGATTATTGAAAACGGAATCAAAATAAAATAAATCTTACATCATTATATTATAGGTTTTTATAAGATGAGTTTCTCAAGAAATCTACTGTTGGATTGAAAGTTGCCATCAATATTTCATACTCGAAAGAAATCAAACTTACAAAAAAATTTACTTCTGTCAAGGACCTTGGTCCTTTTTCAAAATTCGCAGTCCCGTCAAAATAGCAGAAATGAAGCATACAAGTTCAAATAAAGTGTAAACTATTTGACTGCATGAATTGTTATCAAGTTATTCCCCAAAAACAAAAAAGTATGAAAGACCAACATAGGATCACTTGTCAATAAAATGTTGGAAAATGTGTGTATAAGGTTGAACACCGATATCAATTGATCCATATACACGCACAAACCTGGAGGCCACTAACATGCCACCGGCAAAGGTTGAGTACCAGTTCATGTAGTTGAGACTGAAAGGATCAAAATTTCACATTGTGAGGAATTCTATTCCATTAGAGGCATAAAGCTTATGCTAAAGAGATACAAAAAAATTGAATGAAAAAAAATATCGCTTACCAAATGGAAAGAGAGTCCACTAAGGTGGTAGAGTTGGCAAGCATCTGTGATATGAGATTCACTACAAGAGGATACCATACGTCCGAACTGCAACCAGTTGACAAATGTTTCTTTAGGATCACCAAGCAAGAGATTTTAAACAAAACTAGATCATGCGCTGTATTTTGCAGTCTAAAACAAGCTCATTCACTAGGATATGTGTCCAGAAGAAAGACCAACAGGGAAATTTTTGTTCAAACTCCAAATACATTGTATACAGGAAACAATTCAAAACAGATTTTTCTTCATAGACCACCAAAAACAAACAATACTTAATCCTAAATCATTTCCAACATCAGAGTTAATTAAATATTCAAAAGAGACCTCAGTAAATTTGAGTTTCCATACCAGTCTTTAATTACTGTTACACCATATAAACAAACATTTTATTTTTCACGCCAGTATTTTCCTAGTTCCTATGGTAGACATGAAAGCATGTTAGAGGTGGGTTTTCATTATAAAGTGTGCCTGGCTTGCATCCCTACATGGTTTGTTTAGTCTACTCTGCCTTTTCTTTCACCGAATGAGTCTATTTGAAAATCTTCCATAAAGACTGGGCTTGACACATACCAAAGCATGGCAGCAGAAGAAATAGTGAGCATGAAATAAGGCCAGAGTCCTTTCAACTTGAAGGCTTTAATAGAAAAACCTGTCCAAGTTTCCGTGCAAGAGGGACTCAGAATAATGTAGAGTCCTGTGACAAGCACATTCACCCACCAAGAAAAGCTTAAAGTAAGAGCAGCCCCCAAAAGGCCGAAGCCTAGAAAAGAAACCACTAGCCATGTGACAAGCACATGCAAGAGAAAAACTCCAACTGATGTGCATGCCATTACGTTCACTCTGTTCTGTGCCACGAGGAACCCCTGCATAGGGAAGTACAGTGCATATGCATAGAGCTGAGGAGCTGATCCACGGCCGAAAACTTGTCCATACTCCAAAATGGCATTGCTCTCAAATCTTCCAATGAAGCTGAGAAGTGGGCCACAATACCAAAATGGGGGAGTTAGAAGAATAGCTGCCACTAACTGCAATATAATTGATCTCTGGCATATGATGCCCATTACTGCATATTTTTTGGCCCCATATGCTTGTCCACACAGAGTTTGTACTGCGGTGGCCATTCCTACCTGCTTAAATATATTTTAGCTAGAGGTTGTACATAGAATTGGTCATTCTATGTTACCCATAATAAGGCATGTTTATGGGTAATAATTAACAGAAGTTTAAATCACAAATCAGCTCATTTTCAGTAGACTGAACAACAGCATGAAATTACATCTGCTAAAATACATTTTGTTAACTAGTTCAGGATTATTTGATAAAAGAACATAGGAGAAACAAGGCCAGAATATAACCATAAACCTCACATTTCAACCAGGGGATCATCCCCAAAGATCTGTGGAGGAGGGACTTATCCATGCAGGAGCCACCTCTCGTTTATCTTTCTTTGCCCCACAATAGATTCTCTGATACGGGAGAGAATCCGGTCTTTAAATTTCATAACATATAACTTCATCATTTCTTAAATCCTGTTTTTTTGGGGTCACCTGTCCATATTTTCACTATGATATAACCTGATAAGAAACAAATCCTAAGGAAACATATCGAAGGTTCTAGCCAATTTTAAAGCAAAAGACTTCAAATGAATTCTAGAATACATACCATGAGTCCATAAGAAAGACCTTGAAGTCCCAGACAAGCAAGAGAGGCACCAGCAAACTGTGAGTCACCCAAATGGCCAACGAAAATTAGGGTGATAAAAGTTAGCATATAGTTGAATACACCATAAATTGCAGCAGGCCATGATAGAAGCCAAATCAGCTTTGCCTCCCATGCAACAACCCTGCTCCACCATTTCACGGTAACCAGCTGCTTCTCTCCATTTCCCAGTAAGTCCTCAACCTCTGCTGAAGTGTAATGGGAAATCCAGGCATCATCATAAACCCTATTATTGGGAAATAGCAAAGGTTGACTTTCCTGAAGATAGCTCATTATTTCGATCCTGCAGTGACTTCTGCTTCTGGTTTTGGTCATTTTTGTAGAAACGAAGGACAGACATTATAATATTTTATCTGAAAAATATGCAGAGACAAATGAGTACATTTATTTATACGATCAACCAACTACGAAAGATACGTAAAATAAAGACAATTATTGCTTGATCATTCTTTTCTTTTTTGACCTGAATTATTGGTTCGCTGAGAAAAAGAAATTCCACTCGTGGTTCAGAGAAATATTAAGATACGTGTAATGCAACACATGACTCTTAGAAAATATAAGACCTCGTTTGATTTTTATTTTGATTCTAAATATAAAATCACAATTCATTTTATCCCTCATATTTATGTATTTTTTTTCAATATAATCCTTCTTCTAATAATAATGGTAGTTTTACCCAGCACACTTGATTGGCAAGGATATTTTAAAAAAGACAATACATGTTTATTACAAATAATTAACTTAATTTGTTTTTTTAATATCTTCAAATTAATCAATCGGAGACAGTATTAATTTAGCAGCGGGGATACGTGTCCTCCCCACTACCTGTTCAAATCACAACACGTTAGCTTCCATGCATCTTCAATGGCCATCCAGATTCGGCGAGCGCTTTCGAAGGGTTCCCGATCACTCGAGCAACCAGCACCTAAACCAGCGGCTAGAGAACAAAGCTGGAGGAAACAATCAAAGATTACACACATTCTGTGGTATCAATGGAAGATATTAATGAATATGTTGGCTTCAAAGACTTTGATATGAAGAAATATTTGTACGATGGAGGGAAGAAGACAGAGATGCGACACGAAGTGGGAGGGAGTGGGTAGTACCCACTGGGCACTGGGTCCACACACTACACAGTGCCGGCAAAACTTGGCTGCTTCTACACGGTGGAGCAGATCACATCAGGAAAGATCCTTTGGATTATTTATTTATTTATTGACTTTTGTCAAACAAATCTGGGTTAAAAAATTCAAAACAATAACCTTGATTACCTATTTTTTTATGTTGGTTATTATTTCAAAATATCTCCGCGACAAGATCCTGTTTCGTCATTGCCATTTTTTTTAATACAGTAATTTGTATTACGTCCTCTACAATTTTTCATGAACAACACTTTCTAAGAATTATAGACATGTTAACGTCATATTTAAACGCGAGATCTCATCCAAACGTGATAAATAAGGTTATCATTGGAAACTAATCCAACTCTAACTTGATCTTCAAATAAAAAATTATGGAAATTTGAAATTCTACTAAAGGGGTGTTTGGCAAGATGGAAAAGTGCTTTTCAAAAGGATTTTTTTGCAAAATAAAACAAATTTCTTTACATATTTACTTCGTATACAAAAAAACACTTTTAAAATTATAGTTTGGCTTCTATTCAAACACCCTCTAAATAAAAAATAATCTCATAACCCATAAGTCTAAACTTAATCCAAATCATTGATTTAAAATATAATATAAATTATAATAAAAATCCCATGGAAAATCATCTTGACATTAATTATGTTTTATGTTATCCAATCTGATAAGCAAGCACCAATGTGTTGACTTTTCAATTAAAATAACTTTCAGCAGGAATAATACCGATAGTGCTGAAGTTGAACAAATAATTTAGACTGTGGATGTATGGATGTTAACCCCTGTTTCCTATTTGGTTGGAGGGGTAAAAGGGGAGAGGGAAGAAAAAGATTCTAATAAATTCAATTGTTTAACAAACAAATAAGTGATGTTAAAAATTTTTAATAAAGAAGATATTTAACTTCTGATATCATTTTTTTATTTTAAAAAATTAACGTTTTTAAAATCCCTCATCTTTCTTTTCTCTTTCATTCCTCATTTTTACAAGTCTAGGTTTAATGGAATGCATTTTTTTCCAGCCAATGTGACCAGTATGATAATTAACAAGTTTTGATACAGAAAATGACACTATATTCATATTGCTTATTTGTTCTAAAACTTTTTAATATAATAATTACATTGACTTTTGATCAACCTATAATATACTACTTTTGATCCTAATTATAAGAGCTAGTTGACTAATTTAAGGAGATTAAAAAAATAAGTTAAGTTAGTTATTTGTAATAAATAAGTATTGTCTTTTCTAAAATATCTTTACTAATCAAGTTTATTGGCTAGAACTATCATTATTAGAAGGACTATTTTAAAAAAAATACATAAATATGAAAGAAAAAATGAATTGGAGTCTTATAATTAAGATCAAAATAAAAGTGAAACGAGATCTTATATTAAGAACTAGAAGTAGTATTAAATAAAAATCAACTACAAGCCGGCTCATTTTCCTCTCCGTGATGGCTCCTCTACCAAAATACTGTAGAACAGTAGTAGCTCAATTTTGGGCTGCGTGCATTTTTTTTTCTTTCAAATTTTGCTCATAGCATGTTTTCCAGATACTTCTATAAGAGTGCCAAGAAGTCAGAAGTTACAAGATTTGAAATTCCATTCTCTCTCTCATTTCAAAATCTGCAAGATCTATTTTTTCTTATGCTTTTTTGACTTTTCCTTTCTAAGTTATATCAAATATTTTAAAATATAATAATCAAATAAAAAATGATATTAAAAATATCAATGATGGTATAAATATAAAAAGTAAATATAAAATTACTAGATATATATATTTAAATGGGAGGATGCCAAAAAAAGAAACCTGGAAATTGCAAGCTCCAAATCAGGTTTGGTAACATAATGTTATTTGGTATTGACAAGTCTAAATTTGTAAATGATAACAAATTTTTGTTGACATTTCTTGTTTGGTATTTACAAAATTTCAGTTTTTTTTTGTCATTGTCTCTATTTAAATGTTGCACTGGTTTTAAAAATAAAAATTAAAACATGCAGAAATCACTTGAATTTTAATGCAATTAAAAAATTAATATTTAAATCTTTCAATTTTCATAATAACTTTTATCTTTAAAAATATAAAAATATTATAATATACATATTTTGACTTAGTAATATAAATATTTTTACTTACCTTTATAATGTAGTAAATTTTTCAGATTCTTTAAATTTGTAAATCTTTTAGATTTGAGTCAATTTTTACAGATAGATAATAATTTTGTCTTACAGTTAATTTAATATTTTTTTTCCAAAACTAACATTAAAATCAAGATCTTAAAAACCGAGTTGATCTCTAGTTTTTGTAAAAGCATTTGTATTTTGACTGCCACACGCTCTCTCTTCTCGATAAGTCCTGTATTTTTTTCCCTCTACCTCCATTTTTTGTTTCGTGTTTCACCTTTTCTTCGCTGCAGGATGTTTGGAAGTATTCAAAAATACTTTTTAAAAATGATTTTTTATAAAATAATACAAACTTCTTTGTATATTTATTTGTGCACAGTAACAACATTTCATCCAAACACTCCTGGTTCTTCTCTTAGCAAGTCCTCACAGATTGTCACCGGCTATGGACTCCTGCACTTCTTCTGCTTGGTAAATCGTCTTCTTTTTTCTTTTTTCTCTCCATTCTTGACTTTGTACTCTCTCTTTCACATGTTTCCCATTGTTTTTCCCCACTCCTCTTTTTTCCCCCTCTCTTCCTCAGTTTCCTAGGTGAATCGTTCTTTCTCCTTTGCTTACAAACTCGCTGTAGGAGCTTGAGTTCGCAGTCTCTGATGCCGGCAATCGGTGGGTGAGGGTAGTGATGGATATTGGTCGGACACTCTCATATAACAGCAAGGAGTGTTTTCTAGAGCAGAACTTGCCGGTAAATCCAATCCTTCTTCATCATTTCACTTTTCAACATATACTCTTCAAGTATACCTCATAGTTTTATTTTGCCTTTTGTTTTAATGTAATTTGCTTCCCATCCTTGCTATGGTGCATGGTTCTTGAATTAGGCCCTTTAGTGTTTTGTTGGAATTTGTTGAGTTGTTCTAAACATCAAAATCAAACTCACCCCTTGCAAGTTATAAGGATTTCGGGATTGAATTTGGATTTTGAATTCATTGGTGCAAATTATCTAGATATGAGATTTCGTACTCAATGGAGTCTGTGGTTTATCTATTTAATAAATTGTTTTAATGAGCAGTATGATTTGAGGTGGTATGTCTATGTCAGAGACCCAAGAGTCACCAAGTTCAGGGCTCATTTGTGGAAGTTTTTTGCTTTTTTTTGTGAGCCATTATTGTTCTCTTGTATTCTGGACATTTTTGTCTTGTTTTGGCCTAATGTTAGTTTGCAATTAAGGTCCCCTATGTGAAGTCTAGAATGGAACTGGCAGGATCAGTGCTACTTGAGGAAATCGATTTGTTGGGGGTGGAGATGGAAGAATTTCAAAGTTTTCAGTAAATATGATGACACAATATCCTTAGTACATGGAACAATTAGAGGTGGAAATAGGCCAGGCGGCCTGTCAGGGGCCTGTGGCCTGGCCTGGCCTCTTTAAGTATAAGAACAGGCTCAGGCCTGTCAAAAGGCCTGTTTACCTTATCAGGCCAGGCTTAGGCCTGATAATAAGCCTCTTAGGCCTGTCAGGCGGCCTGAGCCTGTTTTTTTTTTTTAGGCTAAATATGTAAATTGACAGGGGCTCAAATTTAACCTAGGTCACTCCCATTTAACTATTCCTAATTTCTTATTCGGCTCTGCCATTCGCTTCTTCCCTTCCTCGCTTCTCAAGTCGGCACTCTGCAAAAGGCGAACAGCAAAGAGCATTCGGCGCACAAGCTCAGTCACAGCGGCACATTCAGGTACCCAGTAGCCAGTCGCACACCAGCACACACTTCCCTTCTTCCCTTCTTCTTCCATTTTGTTCTTTGCTTGATCGGTTCTGGAATCTGTAGATTGTACATTTGGAGCTGATGCTCTACATTTTCGATTCCATCATTCTCCAAGCCGTAGCTGTTTGCTGTAGATTGTAGATTTGTAGTTGATGCTCTGCCTGTTGATTCTTTGATTTCTTGAACTTACTTGAACTTCATTAGCGCCTTGAGTTGATAGGGTTATCTAGATCTGGGATATTATGCAATGATTCAACGCGACTTTCACCACAGGAAAAAGGTAGAAATCTTG